CAGATATGTGGCTGACAACTGACTAAATCTGGGTTCAATCTAATGCTTATTAGATGTTTATGGTTGCAATAAATAGCTCATACTTATCGCAAATAATAAATTTGTTAAGGTTAGCTCACAAATGGGGGACAGAGGAGAGGTATTGTAGAAAACTTATGGAACTAGGAATTTTAGCCCAAGTAATCAAATCTCACAGGAACCCAAGAGAAGCACAGCCCCAGGTCTCAATAGGGCCCTGTACAGGAAAACTTCTCAGAAACCAAAGCAATCAAAGGGTTCTGCTGACCACGTCCTCTTTTAGAAGTACAAGTTTATGGGTCCCTACTTCTTCCCACACTTAACACAGCTTTTTGTGTCTTATTTTTCCTTCAATTACTAACAAGCAGACTCTGATTAGATAAAGTTTCTATTACATATTCCCAAACACTAACTGACTAAAATTAGAAAGCTTTTTCTACCAGGTCAAGTTTTCACCAATTAATCTATGAGTTGCTATTCTTGGATCAAGCTACCCACCTCGGATCCCATCAGCTGAAGCCCAATGTGGAGGAACAGATGTATAAAAAAAACTCTAAATCCCAGGGTCTCTGTCCACTGCAAGGCCTTTGGCCTGGAGTGTTTTCCTTAAAAGAGGATCCTGAGCATGTCTGGTGGACATATAGGTTAATTGATCCTGAGCATGTCTGGTGGACATATAGTTAATTGACTGTAACTGGAAAAGTAGGGTGCAGGTGGAAGAGGACTTCAAGCCTAACATCAAAATAGAAAACTCAAAACATTAGGGAAAATAGTTTTAAACCTTATCAAATGTTTCACATAAATTCAAACATCACATAAGCTAAACAAAAGTTCTTATATATGTATAAATATAAAGTGCTGATTAACAAATTTAAAAAAAATTGAAATGATCAACAGACAATACTAGAATTTGTAGAACAAGGAAGCAAATACCACCACCAGATGGCAGCATTACCCCATTTGGGCTTTATCAAGGCTCTCTCATCTTTGAGCCCGCTTTGCAACTGCCCATCTCTCTCCTACAGCTGTTCTTAAAACAACTGAGCAGCCCTGATACTGATAAAGAAGTTGTAAATCTAATTGGATGTGCCTCTATTTTTCTACACTCCAGTATGCTCATTATTTCTAAGGTCATTTGAATCCCAAGGTCTTGGAAGTGGCTATGATTTTGTAGTTTTAAAAAACGATTAATCACAAAAGTACTGAGGACTTAGTTTATCCAGATTATAAGGTCTCTAGTCATATACTGAAGAAATTGGATGGTTTATTATTAAAATTCATTTCTATAATCCAGCTTGTTACTATAGCTATTTTTAATAATTGCATACTTCTGCTGGCAGGTTCAATTTAATGCCACCTCTGATGGTTAGTTTTATGTGGAAACTTGGCCAGACGAGGATACCTATATTATTTGGCTATATACCAGCCTAGGTGTGGCTGCAAAGACATTTATTAGATAAGACTATCATTTAAAATCAGTCACAGCAGACTAAGCGTATTACGTCAATAATGTGGTGGGCCTCAATCAATCCATTGAAGGCTTTCAGAGAAAAAGACTAAGGTCACCTGAGGAAGACAGAGTTCTGTCTCCAGAACTGCCTTTTGGGTATCAACTTGCCCCTAAGTCTTCAGCCTTCTGGTCTTGTTCAGCAAGTTCTGGAATCGCTAGAACCCACAATCCTATACACATACATACATACACCCCCTTACTGGTTTTCCTTCCCTAGATAATATACCACTAAGTCCAGGTACTACCATGGGGGGAAAAATGATTTAAAAATTTACATTATCTTGAGATAATGCTAATGCTAAGACAAATGTATTATGAAATACTATGGGAACATGTAAAACAACTTCATTGAGAAGTGTTTTGAAAATCATAAAGAAGTGACATTTAAGTCGAAAGAATGAATCCAGACATTAATAGGGTGAAGGAGTAGCCCAGAGGAAACCTCATGAGCAAACTAACAAATAATAATAAAGCACAACATGGAAAACAAAAGGCAAAATAAGCACACACCATGCACCTCACACCCCGAGTGGGTATGTGATTTCAAGATACTGTGATACAACATACAACATTTTCTTGCACTCTTAATAGTCTATTAAGGACTTTACGTAGATATCATGAAACCTCATAACTTTAAAAGCTACAGATGCTTATGATTCCAACTTTACAGTTCAAGGTTTAAGCAAGTAGGGATAGAAACACTTCAAAGTCCACAGTCCTAATCACTATATTCCTAAAGCCCTTTATATAACTGAAGTATATACTTTAAATAAATTTATGTACTTTAGAATTTAATGGTCAAAGCAGAGAAACCAGGAACCTTCAGATCTATATACACATTTTTTTGTCTCCTAGCATCTACTTATGTAAAGTGGTCAAGTTGCTTTTTGATTGCCTTTTGCAAAGCTCCTAAGTCAAGACAAATACAGGAGCAAACTGCACCCATGCAGATGACTTTCAGCCCTGTCCTTATCCACATTGGAACATTTCAAGCCTCCGGAAACACCTTAGGAACATGTTTATGATGGAAACCAAAACCAACAGCTACTAATTTCAATTTATGATGAAGTGCCAACAGGGAGCAACGTTTCGCTACTTTATCCTAAAGAGAACCTTACTTATGCAGGGAAAAGGAAGGATATATCTCACCTTCCCCTTCTAGCACCATTTTGGTCTTTCCTTTTCTCTTTATCACCACCCACGACAAAGTTTACCTATCTTTTCCTTGATTACCATTCCTTCACAGTATTTCTTTGGGCTTTTTGTCTTCAGAGCTCTTTTTAAATCAGTAATTGAAACTGACCCCCTTGGCTAGCTCCTTCACTTTCTTAACAGCTTTACAAATAAACCTAGTCTCACCCAAAGATTAACACAGATCTGGGTTCGTGCCAGCAAACACAGCTAAAATAAGCTAGCAACTGAACAAATCTTAAATATCTGGTTATTCTGTGTAAACATAGTATGTAAACAAGCAATACTACATAAGAACTATCTTTATCCAAAAGGAGAACCTATGTGCAGTAATGTCTGAAGTTTAATGATTAAGAATCATTGCGTTAGAGAATTCTTTTATATGATATTCTCTTTACATATAAGATATATATGTAAGCTGTAAACATCTGTGAATCTAATGATCTACAAACCCAATCTTGGGAAAAGCATATATTAAAAAATCAGTGAAATTCAGTGAGGAATTTTTCAAAGTTCATGTCCCTGTCCTCCAAAGGTCAGCCACATAAGTCCTCTCTGCTCAGGATTCCAGAACTCGCGAGTTAAAACATTAATAATAAAAGACATGAACTAACATATTCTATTACTTGGAAATTTCTCTTACTTATAAGCTACATAGATAGAGAACATTTTGAAACACTTTCCACCAAACCACATAAAGTAGTAACTTTTATTTTTGTCCTCAAAGAATAGTGAAGAACTTTATGAAACTGGTTTATTTCAATTAGCATCTAATTGAACAAAACTTTTTTTTTAATTTTATTTATATATTTTTACAACTTTGTTCATTTTTGTACAATGTTTGATTTCTCCTCTCAGGTATTGTCCCCATAAAATTATCACCACTAAGAAACCCCTGAAAGATGCTTAGTTCTTCCTGCCCATTTTGATCCCTTTCCCTCCCTCTCCCCTGATGTCTCCGATTTACAGTTGGCCTGCTAGTTTTGTCTTTTTTCTTTTTTCCACTCCTTTATGTGGTTTCCCTATGTTCCACCTATAAGTGAAACCACTGGATATTTTTCTTTCTCCTTCTCACTTACTTCACTGAGCACCAATCCCCTCCAGCTCCGTCCATGTTGCTGCAAATGGCATGTTTATCTTTTTTTGAGTGTTGAGTAGTATTTCATTGTGTATATATACCACATCTTCTTGATCCATTCATCTGTTTTGAGGCATTTGGGTTTTTTTCATATCTTGGCTATTATAAATGGTACTGCAGTAAATATGAGTGCAAGTTTCTTTTTGAATTAATGTTTTGTGTCCTTTGCGCAGATTCCTAGGAGTGGAGTCACTGTGTCACATGGCAGCTGCATTTACAGAAGTCTGAGGAACCTTCACACAGCTTTCCATAGTGGTTGAACCAGTTTGCATTCCCACCAGCAATGTGAAAGAGCTACTTTTTCTCTACATCCTCACCAGCATTTGTTGTTAGATTTTTAATATGAGCCATTCTTACTTTAACAAAACTTTCTATTACCTTTCTGAAAATGATTTCATGAGTGGACCAGCCATTTTATGACAAAATCCAGAGAACTTTAGGAGGAAGATGAAAACTGGAGAAAGCAAATAAGTGCAATCTTTAAAATAACACTCATGTAAAAAAACTATACAGTGCTAGGTACACAACAATGTTTGCTAAATCACACTGGATAATTCAGAGACCTTTTTTATTACATATATCAAAAGTAGTCCTCACTGACAAGCTCAAAATCGAACAAAGGTATGAGGCTGTATAACTGACAAATTTATGGACTATATCTACCCAGAAACTCACTAAGGACACATCCACATTAGATTCAGTGTCTGCATATTTACATGATACCTACAATACAAATTTAATGTCTATCATTTTAGTTCAGTACATATGCAATTTAATTTAAAAATAAAGGCAATCTTTTCCAACCAAGTAACAGAATCCTCCTGAGTATAAATTCGCATTTCGTGCAAAAAAAAAAACCAGCAAGACTAATTAAAGAGGTGCCATTCAAGTTTAGTCAGTAAGATATATTTACTTGTAACTAAAATACAGCTACAGTTTTAGATTTTAATTACTAAGGTTAATAGTAGTTCTGATTGACAACCTAAAAATAGTGGATACTAACATATATACTTAATACTTTTTAAAAAATCTTCAAAATTTAAATAATCCAACTATAAAAGTACATGTGTGCCTTGCCATACATTCACTAAGCATGATTTTAACACAGGGCAATAAAAGTCAATTAATTAACTAGATTCTGTATTCCCTGCCTCCAATCATGCCGTAAATCTGACTTTTTATAAAAAGCAGCGGTTCAGAATTTGTTTCAAGGATTAGCCCCAAGGTTACTAAAAGCTTTTAAACGAGTTCACTCCTAATAAATATGAATCACAAGACAGTCTAAACACTGTGGGACCTTACATTAGAATTATCCTAGAAACAGTAAAATCTACATGCACCTCCTAACCCAGAACTAATGAGTATGAATCTTATGGAATGTCTTCAATTTTTACAGTTCCCAGATGATGATAAATGTTGCCCAATGTGGGAACCTCTGACATAAACAACTAGTACAGCATCATATTAAAGAGCATCAAAATCAACTGGGAAAAACTGGCAGAAAAAAACAACCAAATTTGTTTCAGCAGATTGAGTGGTGTCCAGGAACCAGCATCTTAAATAACCATTGTAGTTGGTTCACAAACCACTCTGACAAGCAATGCACAATCTCTATCAGATTGTGAAGACATTCAGCAATTTGGATGATATTGTCCTCTAAGCCCTAATGAATCCTGCCCAGGGCAATTTTAGCTAGTGTTTAAGGACAACACTTAGCCTTTTTAAGTAAAATATATTCTTAAATATAAATTCGAAGTCAAGTGAACTGTGAGAAACATAGTTCTTTCATTAAGGAAGGGAAAGGCTTTCAAACAAACTATTTAAACCTATTTAAAACAAACTAGTTCTTAGCACTCAAGTTAAATCTAAACGCTTCTTCCTCATTAATTAGCCTGATATTTGATCAGAGGTAGTAATTCCAGCTTACCAAAACCGTAATGTGGATTATAAAAGATACATATTCTAAGCATATATCTTTTTAGGTTCTATACAGTCTCTATATAATAGAGATTAGAGACCCACTTGGATATTAAGTAACACTAGAACAGTGAATAATATTTTATCTGGATATTGAAAACAATTAAATGTTGTAACATTTCCCTCATAAGTATCTACATATAGTACTGGAGGGGAAAATTTAGAAAATATGAAAGTTATCATGCTGCCTCTCTTGTGAAGAGCTAACTAATTTTCTACCATTAACTATAAAATAGGTGGTTAGTAAGATATCAATTACTTTAAGAATTTTTTTAAAGCACATGAAAAGGAACCACATGTAAAGTCACAAAGGAAATCAGAGGGCACCCAAAACTAGTGCTTAGTTAGACCTTCCATGTGGAACGCTGGGTTTATTATCATATTGAATTAACAACTGCATCTCAGTGTGGTAATGTCTGCTACCAATTATCACAAATATTTAAGCATATTTAAGTGTGTGCATTCCACCTCTCCCATCAAACTTTATTCTACTTTGAACCCAAAAGCTACATAAGCACTAAACAGCAACAACAATGTTGGGGAGCAGACAGAACACATGGTTTGCAGAACAGACATCTTGCTCCCCTATCCTGTGTCTAAAATGCTCCTATTTCCCACATACACACTTTTCTATCATGCTTTTCACAAAGGCTTATAACATGTCTTTGCTAGGGGCACATGGGGTGAAATAGTTGGCATTTCTATTTTAACCAAGCAATGAAAAGACAATTGCCAAAATCCAGCAATGCATTGCCAGAAAGGCAAGTGATTTCAGAAAATAAGAAACCAAACTTTTTAAATTCACTCATTCAGAAGCTAAAAATTTCTAATGTTTAACCACTCAGAGTCTAGACTATTAAAAATAATGGAGCCATTATCCAGTTTATAAATGATTCACGGCCATATAATGAACTTTTAAATTAAGCAACAGAAAAATTGGAAAAATTACATATAAACAGCAATGATGTTTAGAAAAAAAAAAAACCTCTTTAAAGGCTGAAATGAGGACAGCGATACAAGATTCCTGGGAAAAGCATATAAAACACACACATTAGTATAAGGCACTACCTTCACTTTAGTCTACACGCAGGGTGTCTTAAATCCTAAGGATATGGGAGAAGGGAAGAAAACGCACACATCCAACTTTTCACGGCCTTTTAGCTGGTTTGGCAGTTAACTGCTTTTCTCTTTCCAATTCCTTCTCTCGTTGCTGCTCCCTTTCCAATTCTTCCTTCTGCCTCTTCTGTTGCAGCTTAAGTGCTCTTTTCTATATCAAAGAAATTCCAGAAACAAGAAAACAGCAATGGTTATATGTCATGACCTAATGTAAAAGTAATAGTGCTTTGATTTGTGGTTATGAATACGTTTCATATTTAACTTTTAAATTCTATCTGGGTAATTTAAGGTTGCCCTTAAATTGTGATACAAGAAAAAAGTCACCAAACTCTTACTTAGTGACATATTCAGAATATGAGCCCACTAGCCCAGCACTTAGTAGAAAAAGCATATGTTTAAAAAAAAAACTTGTATCAGGAATTAAGTGTATAGTTGAATATAGATATATGTCAGAAAATGAACACTGAAAAAATTAAACTTCTAATTTTATGAAGCATATAAAAGGATTTTCGACTCACTTTTAACTTTGATGTCTTTTCATGAAGCATCAACATCTCTTTTCTTATATTCACCAACTTGGCATGATAGTGTTTAGCTTCGGTGAACTTAACATTGAAAAAGTAATGAAAAATCAGGTTAAAATAGACAGGAATATCAAAATGAATAAACAAGTCAATCCCTTAAATACAGTTCATTCTTCCTAAACATGTCAAGCTTTTTAAAGCCTTAATTTCCACATTTTAATTTAAAAATTCAAATTTCATATAAATCATTAGTGGAATTTTAAAACAACTGATTCAGATTAAAAGGTAATTAAACCAAGAACAGACACTTATATACAAATGAAGTAAAATACATTTTGCTTTAAAAACATAAAACATGGGCCTGCCCTGGTGGTACAACATGTTAAAGCACAGCACTGAGAAAGCCGCAGCTGCTGCAGTGCCAGTTCAATCCCCAGCCCGGAGATGACCCACATGGGGTGGCAGACCTCTCCTGTCTCGCCTGCTGTTCCCCTCAGCAGTATACTTTGTTGATCTGCCTGTTCTGCTCCCTGCTCTGTCACTGATCAATACTTTCTCCGCCCCTGTACCTCTGGCCTGTACCCCAATTCTGTAAGCCACCCACATTGGGTGGCAGGTCTCTCCTGTCTCACCTGCTATTCCCCTCAACAGTATATTTTGTTGATCTGCCTGTTCTGCTCACTGTTCTGTCACTGGTGAATACTTTCACCACCCCTGTACCTCTGGCCTGTACCCCAGTTGTGTAAGCATAAATAAATCTTTAAAAAGAAAAAATGAAAACATAATAGCCTCAAATTTCAGTAAGACTATCCATTAATGTTATCAATTTCACTAAGAAAAATAGAACATTATCTACTACCTTCACAAGGGAGACACTGAGTCAGGATAAACAGGACAGTTTTAATATAGTGCCTGCCCACCTGCAAAGCCAAGCTTTGAACAGAGAGATCTGCAAGGACTATGGACAAGTGTGGTCATATTCCTTGGGCTTTTGCAATAAGAACAAGTAGAACCACCTCTGTGAGAACACTTTTCTTACCAAAGAATGTTAAGGTGAATTCCATCTCACTCAGAGATGGGAGAAAATAAAGGACTCATTCTCAGACAAATTAACAAAAAGAGAAGGCAACAAAAATAGGGAAGTATCAGATGCAAGTGTAGCAACTTAATGTAACCAGAAGTCAAGTCATAGTCTGATGAGCTCAAGAGCTCACAACTACTCTTTCTGTGGGCCTTTCAGTTTTCAGTTCCTGCTGAGATATCTCTCTTGGGCTAAGACAAAAAGAAAGAGAAAGACTTAGTTTCTACTCTACACTTTAGACTAAAGCAACAGTATTGCATTTGCGTGGTTCATTCAATCATCATTTATTCACTCAGCAAATATTCATTTAATATGACCTCAGTAACAAAGACAAATATTTGGTGTAACTTTGTCCACTTTCTTCACAAGTCAGAAACCACTGCGGCAACAACTTTAATTACCTCAGGCTCTGCCTAATGCTAGAGAAGATGAACACTTGTTTTTTCATTGTTATAAAAGGAAAACATTAAAAAGTCACATCTACCTTTTTTGAGATACATTTAAAAGTCCATAAAGTCATGCATACCAAGCTACTTCAAATATTTAAGAGAAATATTTAAGTTCCTTATTTTTGTTAATTCCCGGCTTCTTAAAACAGAGTATCAGTTCCTCTCATGGAAAAGCTGTAGTTCTTCTGATAAAGTTCACCTACTGTCATTTATACTGAAAGATTCAACTGATCAGTCTCAAAGGGTCTGTTTCAGCATTAATTTGTCATGGCA